GACAGCCACTGACCGACAAGAACAAAACCGACCCGGGAAACTTGGGCAAAAGCCTCGATCCTGTGTATCAATCCGTGAATCCGTGAGCCGCTGGCCTGTCGGCTTCCGTCCATTACACCTATTCAAGCGGTTGCCGGCGCCACACGAACTGCGGTATATTTGAAATTGGACTCCACTTTCGTGTAGTGTGCAGTGCCTGCAAATTTGGTTGGTTTGTATGTATGTACTCCTAATGCACAAGCCTGTTTACCCAGTTTAAGAACCAAAAAACTTATGGTCAACGATACGACCGCACTATCTACCAGATATTCGATGAAGGACGCGAAGTGCGTCCGTGGCACGGATATGTTCGGATACATCTACACGAGTGCATGGATAGTGCGCCATAAAATACGCATGTGTCGACTTTGATTCACCGTCTGTGTGCACGTTTAAAAACAAGTAGATGCTGGCGTGCGTCAATTTCCATATAACGCACAAGTAGGTCTTTTGGCCCATTCGGAATTAGGCCGGACAGTGGTCATGCTTGCCCGTCCAGATCCCAACCAGATTTACATGAGTACGCATCGGGAACAAAGTACACGTATAGAAATTGTGTTCCGGTTCTGTCCTATGATGCCTAAGGAGTAGTTTGGAATTCCAAACTACACCTTTTCATGCGTATCGGGTCGTATTCGAACAGTCCTATCACTCGCCAAGTTTGAGCTGGAAATGTCGAATCTTTTTCCGAATTCTACATTTTTCACGTTTGTCACCACTTCTTAACTCATCTCGTGCTACCTAGTGATCATCTTCTGGAGGCAAGGTGTGAGTATGTCAGTCAGGTAACCAGAGAAAAGATCGCTTGCAATACCATAGCAATAGATCACTAGTATTTAATGCCAGTGTCTTCATGTCACTGATGACGTCAATACATTATCCAAGGTATAAGACGGATTCTGTCACCGAACTGATGCCGTTTGGTGTCGGTGGATGTGTTTTAACAATTCTCAGGTTACCGTATGTAACGGCTGTGGTAACTCCGCGTGGCTGATGCCACATGGTCGATGCTAAGCAACAACAGTACTGTACGCTTCAGTGCTTAGTACCCTCTATAAACTTCTCCATAGACACCCACCTAAAGCCGTCACTCTGTCATGGTGGTCGGCTTAACTGCCGCCATTATTCTGCGAGCTAAGCTGGCTGGAACTCAGTTTCGCAAGACTCAGCCATGCCAAGAAGACCAACAGGAAACAGCCCGACGACGAATTTCGAGACACCACACTACCGGGCTGTCTGGGTGTAGTCGTACCCTCCTGTCCAACAGGACTGTAATGGAAGTAAGCTGTTTCCCCCAGCTGACCTGCGTATCAAGTTGTCACAGAAGAAGCGATGCTGCATCCCCCCATGGATGGGCGGGTTAGAAAACGTCGGCCCCAAATCCCGCACAATCCAATCGCACAACCGCTGATCATGATCACCAGTGTATTACCCAATGAAGTCGAAAAGCGTGTAAAACGAAAATCTGGTGTTACTCAGGAGGTTGCGGCTGTGCGTTTTATTCGTTCTGATTGTAGTGAGGTTCGCAGATGAGGTGAATGCACGCATTTGGAAGGCTCGGGTCGCGTTTGTCGATTTGAGACACCTATGGCGTCCAAACGGTATATCCCTAAACCTAAAGAGACGTGTGCATCAGGCTACTGTACGGGCTGTGTTGTATGGCTGTTCGAGCAGCGGAACTGAGACGTTTTCAAGTGTTCGACAGTCGTTGTCTCAGGACCATAGCTTCAGTGGTTTGGTGCCGAGGAATCCAAAACGAGGTAACTGGAAAGCGACTTTTCGGTTGTGCAACATGGCGTTCCATTGAAGAATGTGTACAGCACCAGAAACAGCGTTTGTTAGGATATGTACTGCGCATGCCGAACCATTGTCGATGAGTGCTGTTTGCAGTATCCAATTCAGGTTGGCGAGAGAAAAGAAGTGACCAACCCTTGACATGGAAGAATGGTATGAAAGAGACTACGGGACGTTTGAGTGCTGTCGGTGCTACTGGCCTTCCAGGATGGGGATCACGTGTTCTTCGCTGCGTCTGGTGGGAAACGCTCCAAGATATGGCCGATAATCAACAACACTGGCGTTTTTGTTGTTAGTTTTTACCCAGGTTGCCTGAATGAGTCTTTAGGTGTAGGCTAGCACTGATTCTCTTTTCCGTCCATTTTACACCTTTCTTCACAATACAGCCTTAAAGTAAATATTGGTTGTACGGCAGCGAAGCGCAAGCGTTGAATACTGATGTCTTGCTGTCGATGATGACAAAGAGGTATCACAGTTTTGCCTTCGTCCCTGCACCATCGAGCCAGGTCTCCCTCTGCATCCAAGTGTGTTAGACCATTGAGCCTATGGCTACAGGGACGGGCCACCAAGAAAACCCTAATAACCAGTGCCTCGCGGTTCAGACTTTTGATCCAGAGGCTAACAGAAGGGTCCTCACACAAAGCTCTGTATTCTTCCACTATCGTGGGAGTTGGGCTTGGAGTCAAAGATTCAGAGTCGGATACTTAAGCGGATCACCCTTCTTTCGGTCTGTACAACCGGAAATTATCATCCCCCCTGCAGCCCTTCGTTCACCAAATGTCGCTCACATCCATCGAAAGATGCATTGTCACCAACCCATAGCGATTTTTCCGTGAATAAACTATCGTCGAGAAAAGGAAACCTGAATTTATCTCGTGCTCGTTGAAGCCTTCAGTGTCTGTATATTCCGTCCGATTCAGCAACAGACATCTCTAGCTTAGTCGTTGCTTCACCCCTCTGTTTCTGTGTCTCCGAACTACGCATTAAAAAACTTCAGTTCGTTCGTGCACCTCACACCACTTAGGATGAAATCAGATATTCTACATTTCACTCGTCAGGTATCTGTGGCCATGAACCAGTGCATCGTTGTTTCTGCGGTTTGGGAATTGTATCGGGCCTTGAGGCTGAAAGTACTTTACTGGACTGGATCCCATTAAACAGTCGCGTTTTCTCTGTATAGTTGTCTACTTCAACTAAGACCATACAATACAGGTCTGTGAAGTAAACGATGTTTATTTGTTATGTCACTGTACCATCCAACAGACTTGGCAAGGAAGTACGAAAACACTAACCAGTAAACTTAACCGGTTCGGTAACTGCCGCCCCCTTAGATGGGGACCCCGGGACTCCACTCACCAATGGTTAGTAACATTGGCAGAAATGGCCCAGTCGCGCAGTCTCTGGTACTGATACATCAATCAAAAACTGCCCAGTTCCCTAACTAGCTAGATGTACCATCGCCCCAAAGGCTTTGCTGTGTATCCCACACTCTCCCGTTTTCTGATGCTCGAAACTTTAGCAGCTGGAACCGTGCCTATAGCTATAACTGTTTATAGCTGATAAACTGAAATTAAAAGTTGAACAATCTCGTTACATTCGGGGTCAAAGTGGCCCAGTGTGGTTACCACATTCTCTACGGGCCCCTTTTTCCAGAGCTCGGTGGTTCTTGAAAAGACATATGCTTTCTTCGTGTGGCATGGCAGCTAGGCACCGGAAAAGTGCCACAGCCGAACGATTATTATTATTTACTATTCCACATGTACCTACCTGAGGTCTACTTTTGTGTGATCAGAAGGGGTTGGGAAGGGACATGGGTGGACACTGAACTGCGCGGGCAAATGATGCCTCCTGGTTGCCCAGTCCGAGGAAGGGTTTTGGTTAACGTATCCTTGACTCAAAAGTCTGGTCCACAGGGCAGTGAGAGGACGTAGGGTTTTGTTCGGGGACCCTGACCCCAGCCTCTGACTCAAAAGTCTGACCCACGAGGCAGTGGGGGAATGTAGGGTTTTCTTTGGGGACCCTGCCCGGAGCCGACGACTCAACAGTCTGGCCTGCTTGGTTGCAGGGGGTTGGCGTAACCCGAGGGCGAATTACTGTTTCATTACTGTTTCATTCCTGATGCAGCTGCTCACAACAGGTGCCTTTCGAGCAGCACAGGGCTCATTGGTTTTAAAAGTATTTCGACCGTATTGGATAATGCGCCGACGGTCACTGTCAACCGTTGGGCGATCGGAGTGTGCAGTTTTTGGGGCCGACCTTTTTTAATCCGTCCTTCCTCGGGGGAAGGCAGCATCGCTGCTTCCATAAATATGGATATGCTAGTCGCCTGGGGGAAACACCTTACTGCCTTCACACTCCTGTCGCAGAGGACAGTACGACTTTACCCCCAGAACGCCTCGTAGCACGATTACTCGTAGTACGGGATCTCGCTGCTCCCCTTTAGCCTTCCTGGCATAGTAGCACCTTGTAAAACGACGTTGCAGCCAGTGTAGCCCGCGGAATCATTGCAGCACTGAAGCCCGGCCACCATGTCAAGGTGGCAGCTTTATATCGGGATTGCGTCATTGATGCGACCATGGAAGATTCACTACCAGCCTATAATGCCTATGGGGTTAAACTGCTCCCTGGGCGTCCGCTCACAGCTATCCAGTACGCAGAAGACAAACGATATTAAATAATCTAAATAATTCTGCCTCGCGGTTCGGCATGCGCTTCACACCTGCAAAGTGTAAAGTGCTACTGCAAGACTGGGTGGGCTCGAACCCTAACCTCATGCTTGCGGATGAACCGATTGAGGTAGTAGACAAATTTGTTTACCTGGGCAGCTGTATCAGTCCCGGTGGTCTCGCGAAAGATGAAATTTCCATCCGGATTGGGAAGGCCAGAGCAGCTTTTGCGAACCTACGTCACCTGTGGCGTAGGCGTGACATCAGCTTCTCTGTCAAGGGTCGAGTTTACAATGCTGCTGTGCGCTCCATATTACTATATGGAATAGAAACCTGGCCGCTGCGCGCCAAGGACGTCAAAAGATTTTCAGTGTTTGACCATCGATGTCCCCGGAGCATCGCTCGAATCTGGTGGGAACACCGGATCATCAATGCTGAAATTCGTTGAATGGTATTCGGGAAAAATAACTCACCCTCGATAGATGAACTGATCACACTGCATAGGTTGCGCTGGCTTGGCCATGCGCTGCGTATGCCAGTCGACCGACTTTCTCGAACGGCTCCTTTCGCACAAACACGTGAAGGGGCAGCCAAACAATGACTTGGTAGTGAAGTGTAAAAGCCATTACCAGCAAACTCAGTTGCGCTGGTCATTGCCGTCTTCTCGGATGAGGACCCCAAGACGGGCCACATCGATGGTAGGAGACATTGTCAGACATGACCCAGTTGCGCCCTCAATGGCGCTCATGCATCCAGGCTATTGCCTTCAGTGCATAGCTCCCTTCCCAATTCACCCACTCAACAGTCCACTTACAGTGCTGTATTTATGCACTAATTTATCAGCTCCCGCCTCCAATGCGCAGCTACCTACCCTGCCTCTCCGAATCATTGGTGAACGAAACTGTGGCAGCTAGAACCGGTGTATAGCTGATGATGATGATGGTGGTGCCACTTTTACTCCAGGTTCTAACTGAGTGGTAGCAAGTGGCCACGATAATCTATGCGCAGTGCTCGGTCCAGTAGTATCCTTTACTGAAGATGGTATCGTCACAAGGCTTCACGCGCGGAGCGCGCACTTACTTTCACTTGACGTCTGATAATTTTTCGGTCCGAATACTGTTCGGGACCGCTTGGGACATTTCTCCGAAGTTCAGTTGGTCTGCCAGCTTCTCATTTGTTAAGCGATTTTTTCGCACCTTACGCGACCTAGGAAACGAAGGGAGAAACAAGTTCGGACGAGCACGTGATCGAAATTCAAAAATGCGTTTCAAAACTAGCGATGGTCGATTGTTGATCCGCGCCATGGATAACTGATGGCAATTTGATCAATTTGAGTTCGTACCCGGCACGTCGTTAGAGGACTCCATGTAACCAGACGACCGGTTATTTCGGAAGTTTGTACTGCATAAAAAGAACCGGCGGTCAGCACACAGCTGAAGTACTCGTTCGGCAGAGGTTCTCATCCTGAAACGAGTATAGACTGATGCAGTTTTCCCCACTATTGCGCTTGCATTTTGAATTCTAGTTTCTGACGCACAGCACACACCAGTGGTAAGCAAGTCCCGTGTGTGAGCAGGAGCAGCTTGTTAATCTGTTGGTTTCAGTGTACGGACATTATAGGCGCCCATATAGACTGGGAGTCAAGGCTTGAAGGTTGATTTGGAAATACCTGAGGCTGTCGACGCTAGATGACGCGCAGCTGTTTACCAAATCGATTCAACGGAGTCATCGATCGAACGGAGTCATCAGTCTTAACTAACTAGCCTACAAGTAGAGAATTATGAATGAGGAGGCGAGAGGGGAGAAGGTGCGTGAAAGAGAAAAAAGGGATGCACAAGCAGTAGCATGTTTTCGCTAACCCGACCTGCTGTATGCAGCAAGCAAAATGATCCGGTTGATAGCTTTACGCGGAGCCGATGTGGTATGAAGTTATTTTTAGCTATACGTGTGATAATTGTACGCGGATTGTGATACTGCCAGGGCGACCGCTCCTAGACAGGTGGACGAGTAGGGCTTTGGCTTAAAAACCTGGCCGCAAGGCATTGGTGCTTGGCGGGAAACTCAATCGCACGTGAAGCTTTTCAAAACAACTTGCCATACATGTTCCAACCCCAACCTGGGGACCAGGAGACTGTGTTGGGCAGAGCTCTAACCATTGACCATCCTGATATAGGGGACTTCGTGTGTCGCAATGACACCCGCCATTATAGCTCGGTGGGTCGCAGAGGCACACAAAAGGCCACATCACAATAGGGATCAGTCTCTTCGTGACGTTGTCAGTGCCCCCGGCTGCACTTGCTTCACAGGGAATGCCCCAGAAGTTTATGAGCGTTACCCAGTTTTTAATGACCTACTTCCTGGCTTATGAGTTTATGGTGAACTCCCTGAAAGCTTCGCTGCATAAGTGGTGTCCGAGAAGGATGTCCATTCCGATCGTGTTTGACTTCGTCATTGATAAACTAATAATGTGAACGCTGGAAAATTTGTGAAACCCTCGTGTTCAGATCGTTGATTATGTGATCATTGTCGATCTGAATTACGCAAACCACATTGTCTTCTAATGTGAAGGCGAAAACCAAGCACAACTGTCGCTGAGTAAACTGACCACCATCATATTCTGCATCTTCAAAGTTTATGTTCACACTTCATAACTTGCAGTCCTTTACACTTCAGGGAGAAGCCCTAGATACCGTGGCAAATTTTACATACCTCAGAAGCTATATTAGCTGATTACAGGTGACTGACTTCCAGTTGATCCCCCACGGACAAGATATCACCTTGGTATCTGGGTATTTCTAATAAATCTTTTGATTGACGGGTGATGACATCAGTCCCGGGTGGTCTTCGATGCCGCTTACCGCCTCGTATTTTTGCACGACACCGACTTCTACCTCTATACGAAGGCATCGGTGGTCAAGGCTGTTCCATCTCTTGACGTAGCGCCCACAAGTTCATTGTAATGCATGCTATATACAGCCATTGAACACATCCATTGAAACTTGAGGAGAGAGGCCTGCAGCTTTGAATGATTTAATTGTCTCGGTCTTTACAATCGCCAAATCGATATTGGGATCAGCGCACAAACATAAAGCCTTAGCACTGTATGCTGGTATACGTTGCCGTCGGTGACAATGGTGATATGGATCACCTTTTCCAAGCCGCAGCATTGACTCTCTATTCACAGTGGTTGTGCCATAAAAACGTGAAAACAAAGGACCTGGATCATCTTCAGCTCTGACAGCCAACCCGACAAACATGCTGGTCGTTTTCAACTAATCCGCAACTAGAGAATTGAAAAGCAAGCTTCGGTTGTACATCAGGATAGGTTGTTCAGGACCATGATGTTCGTTAGCCTGGTCATATGTGATGTATGCTTAGTCATCGTTAGTTAAGCTTGGTGCTGTTTTCACTACCAACTTCAGGGATTTGGTCAACCGTGACTTGTCTCAAGGTCATGAATATGATTGCTAAACGCTAGTCTGCTGTTGATGCAAAAGGCCTTCTGGGGTAGGGTCTGTGTGGATCCTTATGGTGAGCTGAAAGTTGCAGGATGTAATTTCAAATCTATGTCAGTCACTTCCTTTTACTGGTTTCAAGCCAGTTGTTCATTCTCATCGTCAAGCTTATGCATATACATTCCGAGTTATGGTTGCCTGGGAGTGTCTGAGGCAGGCCTTTTCTATTGCTTTCCCCACAATTATCGTTGTATGCCAGTGGAGTTTATGGGTGGAGTTTCTGTGGATGTTGAAGTTGCTGGTTCTTAGACCTGTGACTTTGGCCTTATTAAGCTTGAAAGTGATATACATTGGGCGAATCTTCGCTGCACTTTTCCGATCGTCAGATTTGGAAATGTATAACCATACATAACGCATGCAGATGGGCCGTTTACTTTCTATGGAACATTTGCTCCGATATTCGATTTTGAGAGGCCTGCCAGATGGGCAGTTATTGGCAGTCCACATCGTTCCATTAGTCTCTTAGGCATGAGGGAGGACAACGTGGATCCCACTCCAGAGGGCTGACAGCATTGACGACACCCAGAATTTTTCGTACCGTCCCTTCTACCAAACCAAGTGAATCCTATTCGGCAGGCTGCACATGGCAAAGGAGACGCTTTGCTTCAGTCATCATTCCTTAGGAACTGTCTGAGTCAGGGCTGTCAGATTTTTCAGGATTAAACCCGACGAACTTCGTCGTATTCGATCTATGACATTTGCTTCTTCTTTAGGGATAATTAGGTGCATCCTCATATGGCGTTTTCAACTGCAATGCTCTTTGCTGAATACGTGAACTCCAAGGAAACGTTGACAGTCACTTTTCAGATCCCAAAAGATTATGGGTAAGGTTCTTCTTTTTCTCATCTCTCGTTCCTCAGAGACTGCGTGCTCTCTGTAAAGAATGACCTAACTATAATCAAGTGCCCGCTCATTACCTATCAAGCAGAACTACTCGGGCTTTCGATAATGAGTGTCACATGCAGCAATTTGGCACCTACCTCTGATGATACACTATCGTGTTGTTTCAAAGCAACGCGAACTAAGCGTTCTGTGGACCCGCGCAACCTCTCGATCAACATGGCGCAGTTCCTGGTTGACAGTGATGAATTACTGTGCAAGTTTTGCCAAAACACTTTCGCGAAAACAAAGTTTGTCACTTCTATAAATAACCAATCTCTAGGGAGGTGAAATCGTTTAACGCGTTATCTCCGACGTTCTCTCTTGAAGATAACACCCTCATGGTTGAGGAAAGTCACTTCTGCCACCCAAAGCATCCTGATAAGGAGAATCAAAGTTTCCACGTTCAGCTATCTAAACCGGTATTCAATCCGGAATGTGTCACACATTCCTCTGCCGCATACACAGGAACCGAAGTTATTCTAAGCCCTGCTCTTCAGGAAGCAGGTTGTTTCAAAGAGCAGGCTGGAAAATACATACATTGCTCCAGATGCCTTATGGCAGTCGGACAGAAAGGTTAGCTTCGTATTCTCTCTATACTATTTTTTCCTTAAACTTGATTCGCTTCCCAGTGTACCAGTAACGTGCAACCTACTTCACCACACAGCACTATCTGCAGGTGAAAATGTATTAGCATGCACATTTGACCTGGTTAGTCTCAGCTGTTTCTCAATAGGGAATTGTACTGGACTTCATCCTCGTTTCAATCTCTACATTTGCTATTAGACTACAAATGAGCACCTTCAGGTTACATGAGCTCGACTAGACTTTTTGGTGATGCTGAGGTATCCACCTCCACTACGCGCAGACTCCTTGACTTAGATTTCCAGAAAGACTGCAGTGGGTGTATCTGCATCGCGACGACTGCCGCGTGGCACCCTTTCGGTGTCTAACTGCCATGCCACCCGAAGGTTGCACGAGCGCCGAGATACTATCAGGTTGCCCAAGCCTGGACGCGGTTATCAGATCTCGTCTGGCTTGATCACCGCGTGATGTGTGATTGAAGACTAGCAAATGCTTTTGAGCTGATTTACAGATGTAGCTCCAAGTTGCTGGAATTGATTGCGGCATCTGGACTAGCTTATCTGACTCAGACTTTTGACGGCGATTTGCACAAGCTTCAAACGTGTTATAAACTACCCGCTCAAACTTATCGCTATCCATTGATTCTGGCAGCAATCAAGCAGCCACGTTTATGGTATCCACAAGCAATGAATACCTTGATACGTCCAATTCACTTTGCAGTGAATCATCTTCCGGGTTATCCCGGAGCAAGGTCCTATTACAGCGCCATAATGTTTCTGTTGCTTGGTCACGTAGGCTACCTACATACCCAGTTGTTCAACGTTTGCCTTGGCTATTGAGAGCCAGGTTTTCAACTGTTTTTTGTTGCGACAGCGCCGTCGTGAGCAGGAAAGTCGCGAAATGGAGAGCAATTGTAGCAACGGTATCCATCGGTTCAAGCGTAGGACGGTCAAGAACATGCCAATTTCACCGGGACAAATCTAGTGAATGCCACGCTGCGCAGCGCCGGAAGGTCGACGGAGTCCTATCCTTGGCAGCCTTCTTGTCCGGTTATAAGCCAGAACGTGATGGTCGGCATTCGACGACCGAGACGGGCTGAGTTATGATGAATCGCGTGCGTCGGGGTAATTTGCAGCATAAAATTCCAAACCACCGTCGCCAAGTGGGACCACCATGCTTCAATTAAAACAAGAGTCGACTTTCATTGGTGACAACCTGGAGCGTCGTCGATGGATCCTGCAAGATGCGGCTCAGAATGTGAATTTGAGTCTCGATATCCTTAGCTAACCGCGATGCACCGGTCAGTTTTAGTTAACTGAACTGGTTTTTGTAGAGGAAACTGTTCATAAAGTCGTTGAAAAATTTTCAACGGCCTACCACCTTGAAGCTCAGCAGGTAGGCGCAGTCCACCTGTTTCCGTCAATCTGCGACACATCGAATATCCTACCAACAGAAACATGAGGCGGTCTTTGTGCAATCAGTTACCGAATATCGTAAACGAGAGGCTCAAATGGGTCTCCCATGAAAACCGAATTGAAATGCAAATGTGTGTATTTGTTGAACTGATTCTCCTTAAGGAAACCGAGCCCAAGCCGTTGGCATTCAGACTTTACAACCTCGATGTAGATTATGGAGGTGACTTCAACTTCAAGCACTCGTGAGGGGTATTGAACGGGGACTTGTTTTCCTTGAAGGTCTGGAATAGGGCATGAACTTTTTTCTTCTGCATGTTAACTTCCTCTGTCTAGGCTCGGCCAACCTGGCAGTATCCCAGTTCTCGTGCTTCATTCGGGTGGCATGGCAGCTATGCACCGAAAGGATATTACAACTGGACGATTGTCTTTTTATCTTGTCATAAAAGGGACGTTGATGTAGATTTTTGAGAGCATGTAGTTGGTGTGCTTGTTGTCCTCCTCTGGGGTGGGCTTGTGGAGGAGGAGGACCTTCCAATCATCATCTTGCCCGGTAAAGTTGCTCAGTTTATGAGCGGTATAAAAGCTCACTGATACTGTTTACGATCCCTACATGCTGTCAGCCTATTGCAGGAGGCTGGACGCAGCTGGTTGAGTCAGGGAGTTGGCCCACAATGGATCCGTCAGGTCCCTAACATGCCAAAGCTGCCCAAGCCCGTCGCCGTATTATAATGCAACTCACGTTTCTGAGTTTTCCAACCACATTGTTACATCTATACAGTGATGCTGCAATGTTTCTAACGGCAACGCCTGTTTTTGGGTATATTCAGGTTATTGGCAAGCCAAACCATATTCTAGTATTAAATGTTTGACCGTGAACACCGGACGAAACACATGTTCACTCACACTGTAATGTCCTGGTAGAAATAATACAGGCGACCCGATAAGATCGCTTCACTACGCCGTTCCGTCATTTGTATCCTTTTGTGCTATTGTGTTGCAGTAAACGTTGGGGCGTCGGACCAGTACGCATTGTGGACCAATTGTTTAGACGTTTTGACGGAAGAACGTGATATTGACGGCGACTTCCTGCGTTTCGTTGAGAAACCCCTGTGAGTACTGTTCACGAATGGTCAACTTTGATTCTTCCCAGGATATTCCAGTTGTTGCTGAAGTAAATATGTACACTTAAATGCAAGTTTGTCCATTTGTATCATCAGCGCTAAGATTTCCACCTCTTGAGACTTCTGGTTGCATGAGATCAATTCTTCCTCCGTAACCACACTACTGAGCTGCGTTGACGGACTCGATGGTAATATTTATAACTTCACTTGTGAAGTACTCTTTATCTGTTTTATTTGTTGGTCTCGCACGTTAAATTGTTGCTGAGTAATCATGTGATGAACCGCCCTTCCACAGAGTTGAGGTAAAGTGGTGCGACCGATGTGCTTGCGTCAACTAACTGAAGCATTAGGGTGCTATCTGTGTGGTTCGGGTAACGGTGAAGTGCTCCAGGTTTTTTTTCCATAATTATCATCATCATGGACAGCATTGCCTAAGAGTTTACCAATGATGCTTCGCTGCCATAAAACCGTGATTTATTTGAAAGCCCTATGTTGAAGAAAGGAATGAAGGTGGGTGAGGAAGGGACTCAATGCTAGCCTACTACAACCATTCCGAGGCGCCCACATTTCCGGGCACTCATTCAGGCGACCCGGATAGAGACTAATAACCTAAACGCCAGTGAAATCTATTGGCAGCCATACCTCGAAGGGTCTCCAATCAGGCGCAGTGGGGATCACATGGTACCTATCGTGGAAGGCGAGTAGCACTGACAGCACCCAAACATTTCGTAATCTCTTTCATACCCCCTTCCATATCAAGGGTTGGCCACCTCTGCTTCAGCCACTCTGAATTGGGTACGGCAAATAGCACTCATCGGCAATGGCTCGGTGTGCGCAATACATAGTCTAAGAAACGTAGCTTCTGGTGCTGTTCATATTCTTCAATGGAACTCCTTGTTGCACAACCGAAAACTCGCTTTGTTGTTGCCTCGTTTTTGGATTCTTCGGCACCAAACCACAGAAGCTGTGGTCCTGAGAAAACTATTGTCGAACACCTGAAAACATCTCAGTTCTGCTGCTCGAACAGACCAAGCCCTACAGCCATACAACAGCACGGCCCATACTGTAGCCTGATTGACACGTCCCTTTAGATTCAAGGATATACTGCTTGAATGCCATAGGTGTCTCAAATTGGCAAACGCGACCGGAGCCTCGCAGACTCGTGCATTTACCTCATCTGTCGCTACAATCAGAACGAATACAAGGTATGTAAACCGCTCCACAACTCCCAGTCTCTCCCTGGATTGTAAGGGGCATGTTCAATGACTGCATGTCCACAAGCATGACGTCGCATTATGTGGGTGCAAAGTGCATACCGAAGGACGGCATGACTGGTCAGAATCCTTGCGCCTTCTCCTCTTCGAACATGAGAACGATGTTGTCTGCATATTCCAGATCGACAAGGTTTTCGTCAGAGGTTTGTTGAACACCAGGGCTTTGAAGACCTTCCAGCGTTCATCCCAGTCTCTCACTAATTACGAAATTAAATAGGAAGGGAGAGAATGGGCATCCCTGGCGGACACCGCTTTGTGTGCGGAATTTTTTTGGGGAGCCTTTTGTGCACTCTCATACGTCCGAAATCTGAGAGTACAAAGAACGTATTATGTTTAAAAACATCAGGGGCATTCCTTGATGGGCAAGCGTGCCAAGAAGAACTGGCCGATTAACCGAGTCAGATGAACGTCGGAAATCCGGAGCGGGGACCGGTCGCACGGATCAACTGAATTAATCTTCGGACATTATCGGCTTTTTCTTGGCTTTCCATGTCCACCAGACTTCACAGTCAATTCGCGTGCTCACCTCCACTTAACGTCTGATAATTCGTTGCCTCAAATTAAGTTCGGGACCAGCTGGGATATTTTTTCAATATTTCAGCAATGCAACTGTTCAGTCTGATATCCAGTGCTTAAGTGACCCTGATAGCGCCGTGACACGAACAAAACTTCATGCACTGTGCGATCTTGTCCCAGAACGAATTTACATCTGATGGTGGAGCATTTGGAAGAGACTCTAGAAGACGATTCCGGCAAATTCATCTAGTATCAGGATCTGTCAGTCTTTCAGTTGCCAGACAATTTTTCCACTCCTTACGCAACCTGGAAAACGAAGGGAGAAGCGACTTCTTACGAGTGCTTGGTCCGAATCCACAAATTGTTCCAAATCTAGCGGCAGTTTGTTATTGATCCGCGGCACTGGTAACTGATGGCAATGTGACTGATTTGAGTTCATGGCCCTCACGCTGTTGGAGGACACCATATCGCCAGACGACTTTGGCTATTTCGGAAGTTAGTTCACGGTCGTACGTGGACTAGGATACTGACAGGGCCCCCGCTGCCAGACAGGAGGGCGATGTGTTTCTTCAACCAAAATCTTTGGATCAAAAGTTTGACAGAAAGGCAGTGGTCTTTGACTGGAAATGTAAGTACAATGCCATCTTTACGGAACCCGTCACCACACGTATACCAGCCAACAACCTGGAGGACCAGGAGACTGTGTTTGCCAGAACTCTAACCCTTGACCAAGCTGGTATGAGAGACTTTAAATGTTTATCGGGTTCTAATGGGCGACTTCCCACTATGGAGCGTGCTGTAAGTATGAACATCCCGCCAGTATTAGGTGAGCGCGGTGCGTGATAATCTCGTCAATGTGTCGAAAAACTATATACACACAGCTAGCTAAGGAGAAAGCACCACTCAGCTGCGCATTGACGATGTTTCTCGACTGGGGATGAGACGTTTGCAAGCGAATTGCCAAGCTCGGTGAACAGAACAACGGCCACCTTGTAACCCTACTGGATCCCTATTGAACCAAAAAGCATTCCAAAGCGTACAAATTTGTTTCATTAGACTGAATAAGTATTCCGTTCTCAACATATAAAGGGAAAAACTCAAAATCAGAACACTTTCTGTTTACGACCTGTTACCCCAGTCACTCAGGAGCTATTGATTTTCCAATATCATAATTGCATGCAATTTGCATGAGTCTATTCAGCGAGGGGAGAGGCCAGTGGTTAGAGCGCGAATCGACTAACCGGAGGGTCTGTGGTTCGAACCCGACTTCCGCATCTCCATTTCTTATGTCTAGGCTTGGGAAACCTGGCAGTATCTCAGCCCTCGAGCTTCCTTCTGGTGGCATGTCAGTTAGGCAGATAAACGGATGCCTTCGACGCGTATCTTATCAGTCTCTACTCATTTCATCCCAATACCATGTTCCCTATTTAATAGTGATTTAACACTGTCTACATAAGCAATTCTTAAGATATTCAATTCTACACCAGAAAATGACTTAATCATGTCATCTTGTATTCATTATATGGAACTAGAATAGTTAAAGCCAGATACAGGGGCGTGCCTGGTTATATGAACCGCTGTACATTTATTTATGTCACCAAAGGGAGGTCAATCTCTCGGGGAGTTCGCAACGGTGTATCTCCGACCGCTGGCGCGGTTTAGTGTGCAATCCTTTCTGTGGAGGCTAAACCCAAGGGAGACCCAGTACACACTTTATCCGCAAAGGAGTGCGCAAAATAACAGCTAATCAGATTGAGGTGTTTGTTGTATGTATCCCAGTGTCTCGACATCTCGATAGGTTTTGTGCACATTTTATCTCTGCATATCCATATGCACTCCTATTTCTCTCACTCTCTGAATAACCTCAGTATAGCAGTGACCTTCATTGTGACCGCATTGTTTTCCCATAATGTACAACTCGCACGACCTCTGAACCGCAGTCTACCTCCATATTGACACTTTAACTAACGTGGCTTGTTTTCTGAGTCCTGAAGAACGACCGTCGTCTATTGCACAAACCGGTATGTGCTTTTTCAGTACAAAACTCAAACAGAAGTTTATACGGTCACAGTTAAACGACTGTTAGATACTTATCAAAATACGACTTGTCCAACATTTATATTGATTCAACCAGTTTAAGAGTGATGATGTTTACGGTAAATTCAGATCTAGAAGAGTAATATCTTCTTTGTCCATCATTATACGATTTCTTTAGGATGGAGCCGTCATGCTGAGGTTTTCGCAACTTGCTGTAATGTGAACTAAGTCTCTGGAACCCAGCCGTAAATTGCACTGCAGGTGTGTTTTTGATATGTATCGGAACGATGGATTCGCCTTCACGACGGACGAAATCACCAGTATCGTTCAGCATCTGTGCTAATGAAATTTCAAATTCAGCTATGCGGTAGGATTTTCTGGACCAGGACAACCTGTATCCAGTGTCTGGCTACTCGCAGAGACAGTACCATTATGTCGCTCTTTGTAAGGTCACCTGCAGTCACTTGTCCAAGAAGACCGGTTATAACAATCACACAACGGGAGATACTATCGTTATTTGCATACAGTGGCATCTTTAGCTTAATAGATGCTGAGCTGGTAGGGAAACAAAGCTCGTTTATTGGGTGTGTCAGTCCTTCACATAGGCAAATATTGGGAGATTTGCTGACAGTGATTTAAATTCCCGGCATAAGGTGGATCGGGGAAACTCCTGGTACCTGAAAAAAACAAACGTGAGAAACACCACATAAGTGGTTTCGCCGTTGTGTGGAGCGACAACGTAGTCTGAATAGCCGTCCGTCTCCGTAACAACCGCTGCTCATACCGCCGTATTCGTTCAACACTGCTCCGTCAGTAAGATCTGATGTGACGTACACAAGTAGATGCCTGCGAAATCGGTATCTGAAAGCTAACTAGAGCCAGCACATGCAGAGATACTTATCGATGTTATCAATCCAAATACAACTTGGAAATCAGGATACTTCCATTTGTTTTTAATACGCATTAGTTCACAACTGGGTGATGCACATAAACCGTTCTTTGGCCGAAGCATCTACCACTTCAAAATCAGTATACACATCGATCATGAGGCCTACTCGACCAGATAATTGATTTTGATATCCTGTGTGCTGTAGCTGTGTGCCCTCGCTTGCCACACCGCAGGACTTACGAATTCTCCAAACGACCATTTTAAGCTTGGAAAATACCCACTGGCGCCGGCTTGCAATACAACATTAGGGATAACTTCTTGTATCCTGAAATATTTTTTCGGTGCTTGAGGACTTTGCTTTGTAAATCACACTCAGATGTATTGTACCATGTGCTCACTCGAAAATCAAGAGTCGTACCTCAGATCACACTGCTACTCCTTGGGTGAGATTAGACCGTCCACGAGCTGATTTGATAAACGTTTGCAAAAGGATATCTGAGGCTAGGTTTTAATGCTTTCATGTGCATAAATCTCCTTTGAACATACCATGCATTAAGATAGCAAACTGTTGGCGGAATTACTGTACACCAGCATTACTGTGATATGTTATCAACTCAGGAATAATAAGCCGCTTATACCTGGCTTAATGGGTACAGGTATTGAACCTTCAGCCTATCAAGTCACGTGGGATCGGTTCACTTATGTTCGGCTCCACTGTTCACTTGTCTCCATCTGTACTTCCTTACAGACAGGACGAAATGGACTTTTATGGTTTATTTATTTCTGGATTAATTGACAACCAATGCTATCGAGTTATCATATCAGCAATTACGTGGCACGGCTGCATTGACTTTATGCTGGTAAGCTTCCTATCATTCGTGAATGATGTATTATTTACAGTCCCCAGAAATATATTATTGCCGCGTTAAGAATTACCCGTCGCGCTTGTTATTTTCTGTTCTGGGCTTTCCTTACTGGTCTTCATCCCTTTCAGTAAATTCCAAACTCTGTTTCGTAACCACTGCTATAAAATACGCCAGGTTTTTTGGGAATCATTTCAAACGACGCACAGAAATATCACAGTTTAAGTCTTCCGAGGTTCATCCAAGTCTGCAGGTGCGTGTCATATTAGTTATTTTCTCTGTCAACCACCGGAGAGTGGATAAAAAACGCTAGACCGTATTCGTGGCGAACTAGACCATGTTTAAATAAACTCCAAAGCCAGTTCCATATCAGCGGACAAATGGTGATTAGTGACAAAAGCTATAATATGCATTAGTTCTGTCTATTACCCTTCCCGTTTGTGCTCGAATTTCAACCATTTTGCGTTGGCTGTTCATGGCTGTTATGTTCGTGAAAGGTTCGATGACAGACTGATTTAACATAATACCAAAAGGTACCTGATTAACGGTAAGGCGTTTCCTTTTATTTGGTAATGTCTTACCATCATTTTGTTTTGAGCAAGAACAGAGAGTTGACATTGGTGCATCCCATTACTCTGCGTTTTCTTATTCATGCAGCTTTGGCTCATAGACCAGGAGTTGGATCTGTACTCCGCTAGTTTGCCTCGGCTACCACCCAGTCACGAACAGACCCACGAGGTGAGTGGTTCAGAAAGCTCGAAACTGGAAAAGTTGAAACCAGCGGAGCCGCCTACTGTTTCGCTCAAACTGGAACCGACGGCCTGTCGTCGGGTGTTCTACAGAATTGTTTTGCCCACGGAAGGTAATACACAAGAGTGAGTGGTAGTGTTTCGAGTTAAATTTTCTCAGGTTATTTGTTAGCCAGACAAGGCGGTAAGCATTACTTGCACCACCTTGCTTCACTGCAGTTTTATTTCGAAAAATGAACGGCCCAGCGTGTATAGTTCGTGAGTCCTTATACCAGCCTGCTGAGAATATGATGAAAAGGTTGGTAGCATCTGCTCGTTTTGTAAGTGTAGATAATTTGGTGTTCGATTTCCCTTCATGGGGTAAAACAGTTGTATGCCGAAAATCTAAGAATCACCGTTCAGATTGTTCAGTCTTCAGTGGAGGTTTATTTCTCTAAACAAAGCCAACCTTTACTGAAAGCACCGTTCAGCTGTTTCGTCCTAAGAAGTCCGGGTGTCACGAAACTCCAAGGCATTCCGATCCCGCGACTTCTCGACTAGTGGTTTGAGCATCTAGCGTTAGGAACATGCCCATTTGGGGGGGGGGGGTAACTCGCACTTGGTCAGGATATAGCACCACCCATCATTCAATCACGGGATCCATATCACGTGGTTACGTGTTGACTGGCTTCTCGATTTCTCCTATAAAAGTTTCACTCGTCTTGGGAAATTATTCTTCCTCTGAGCTACCTTATAGATGGTAGGTAGTATGAGGTCTCCTAGTTAAAGCCAATCTATGCTGAAAAGCCTCATTGAGCATCAGCAGCATGGAACCCCAGGGAGTTCTTAGAATCAATGACAATATGCATCGCAATGATGATTTGATCCAGCAAGCTTCCAGATGAAAATCCGAACATCGTAAATCAGCCTCAGGCAACAGAGAAGCAGTTTGATTAAACCCGACTTAGATAGGAAAGCATCATCCATCCGCTGCACCATCATGCAACTTACTGCCACCTCAAGTAACTTAACGGACCACGGTCATTTCTGTTCTGAGCAAATGAGTCATGTGTGAAGAGATTTTAAAGTTCCAGCACCACTCAACTTTTGTCCAGACCGCTCGAAAAATCCCAGAAACGCTACTGGATTAATCAGACATCAAACAAGTCCTGTTTTTTGTTTGTGTGTGATCGTCAGGCATTACAACACCAATCTGGTCGTAGTAGGCCAAAGCAAAGGTGATCTAAAAAACCAGTAGTTTGTGCATTGTGTTCTGAGCAAATGAGTCATGTGTGAAGAGATTTTAAAGTTCCAGCACCACTCAACTTTTGTCCAGACCGCTCGAAAAATCCCAGAAACGCTACTGGATTAATCAGACATCAAACAAGTCCTGTTTTTTGTTTGTGTGTGATCGTCAGGCAATTACAACACAATCTGGTCGTAGTAGGCCAAAGCAAAGGTGATCTAAAAAACCAGTAGTTTGTGCATTGTATGCTGTGCGAAACTTAAACATGACAGGGTCACCATCAAGCTGAGTTGATGGTCAGTCCTGGATGCATGCGTTGCTAGTCGGTTGGAATATTGTCATGCGAAGGTTGGGTTCACCCATTCTGCTGGATATCCGCTTCGCAGCGACCAGAACTAAAGCTCAGGTACCTTTTGAATAACCTGGAAAGCTTCCATACGAATAAAAGTATGATGAGGATTGATCAGGCGCGTGGTGGCCCCTGCTTTACAGTTCTCCTGTGAACCTCATTTCCTGACAGATCCGATGAAAGTTTCTCTTATTTTTTAGTTCAGCTAAGAAAATGACTAATTTCACCCTTCATATAAGATGAATTTCCGCAAAACGGATATCATTTGATGGATATCCAGTCTATGCCGGTTAGTGTGGGCCAACGTGGCAGCCATGGTGTCCTTGGTGTCCGTAGATTTGATTGTTGAGTGGAAACTACGCAACATAACAACTGTAAGGCTGAAAACCATTGAATGGTCGCACCGCGTTCGTAATGAAGAACGGAGGATATTGCCTGAATTGAATTGCCAAAACCTGTAAGTTCATGGCAGTTACACTGCATGTCGGTCACTCGCGGCCGAATATTTAGCTTCTGTCCTGAAGTTCAAATTTTCCTCGCTGTTTTTGAGACGGCCACTGATAATCAAGGACGAGACGGCTCTGGTTCTGTGCACTGGATGATACCCCCAAATACTACCTGCAACCAACTCCTAACGTCAACACCATTTATGCATTGCTATCACGCTGCTGGAGTCAGCTGCCCACAAATTAGTTTTTGAAGATCCACTAATTTCTACACATTACTGATGGCTTCCTTTATTGCGAGCCTTTTAGATGGTGGTTCTTACATTCAGGACTAAACCATATAGATTCAGTTGATTTCTGGTGTGCATATTACTGTATTATTGACCTGGTTCTCTTTCTGCTTATTTTCAGCGATGGAAGTTGGTTTAACTAGCCAATAAAGAGTAGTTGGAGACATGTTCGTCAAATTCGTATGCAGTGACGCTACCGGGTATTCCGAATACTGATTAGGACAGTCGATTAGATTCTACTGATTAAGGTCGGCTCTTGGACGTGAGATGCAGTTAAGAGCAGTAAGATGTCCCTGGTAACTGGTGCCACCTGGATGTATGGGTCATTCTAGACATAACTGTATTGGCTTTTTAGGACTTGTATTGGGAGTAGATGAACCAGCTAATTACAGATCGCATATTTTAGCTGGTTTTTCGCTTGATTTAGTTATTTATCACTGTCGGAACTGTACTTTTTAGAGAGCTTTTTTATCCGTCCACTCTGTCGTCCCTTGTTGATCGAAGGCCTTTATTGGGCACTATGTTATCAACGGGGCCATCGTGACATTCACAAGATTTTCTTGTTTCTGTTGTCGTGCTTTTCTGAACGATCCAATTTAGGATCTTTCTATAATAAAGCGTTCACGTTGCCTGAACTTTATGCGGTCACGGAATCCGTACTAGCATCACCATTGTTTCTCCCTACAGACAGTCTCATACCTTACTCAAGTCTTGGCGTCATGATTTTGGTGTGACTCTCGTTTGCCTACCATGGGAGACCTGCATCGGACTAGCCACTTGTTTGCAACAATTCACCTCGCGGATCGCCCCACAGTTTCGAGTTGCGGACCGACATTTGTCTGGATTTACCGTAAGTTAAAGGCATCCCTGTGCTTAATTTAGTTTCGGCTGTCTTACTACCTGCGTCGGCTACGTTAAAAATTTGATTACTTACGAGTAGCCCGATAGCTCTTCCAAAAATCGAGTAATTACGAAGGCCTGATCTTGCAGGCTCACAAATGACAATTTCAAATTAGGTGTGTTCGGTCCTGGTCCGACCTTTTCTACTGTCCTTTTTCTTGGACGTAAATTTGACTCAGTTTTTATCCCTTACCCCGTATGACATTGGTTTGTTCGCTAATACATTTTATCTGCCTTTTTCAGTGTGGTGCGGTTCCCACGGTGAACTGGTCTTCTGAGCAGTGTTGACCTGATCCTCTTCCTTTTGTGATCCTGTACATATTGTGACTATCCTGCAATAATACATACTCTTAGCATTCCGATTTGACGTAATCACACTTTCCTCTGGTAGAACCTATACGTAGTACCCCAACCACCCGGATGGACCGAGGATGGTGCTTGCAGAGGTACACCTTTTGTCGACCGTATCAACAATTAGTAATGTTAATATCATCATCATTGTCAGCTGTAAGAACCGCGTACTGGTCGTACACTGGTTGTAGCTGCCACAATTTCGTTCACCGATGATTGGGGGGTAAGTAGCTGCGCATTGCACGCGCGAGCTGGTAAAT